GGTTGGCTCGGAAGATGCGCGGCCAGGATCCGCCGGCAACGACGCGGCTGCCGCCGCCTTCGCCGGGCGGCGTCGCATCCGGGAGACCGCGCGTAGCGCGCCGGCCAGCCTGGGCGCGCGTGTATGTTTTTTTCGGAGGGTGTCCTCCTTATCGCTCTCGGTCGCGTCCGCGCGGTCGTCGGGCGGGCCCCGGGGTCGCGGCGCGCCGTGCAGCCGGGTGGCCCCAGAGGCGCGGTATGGTGTGCCGCGGGGGCGCGCCTGGCCAAGCGTTTTGGCGGGCTCAAGTGCGACCTTTCGCCGGGTCGGAGACGATGTCGGGGCGCATCTCCTGGAGAGCTCCGCCTCCGATCAGCTTCGGGAACCGGAGATCAGGGCCCGTTGCTTCGGAAGGCCCCCCTCCCCCGAAGCCTGCGACTCCCTCGGGGCTGCCGTCGAAGCCCCGCCCGACCCGGCTGCCGGCGCGATTTCGAGTGCGTCATCGCCTTTGGTCGCCCCACCCCTGGTCGCGACCCCCCTGGCGGCGGCCCCGGCCCCTGCGGTCAGAGTCGCAGCCCTGAGCTCTGGGAACGCGGCGGTTCCTTTCGAGGGCACTTCCTTTCCGATTGGTTTCGCCGGTGGGCCCCCCCCCCAGACGGAGAGCCTTCTGGGTCGTCGTCGGCGGCCCACCGCCGCCCCTCCGGCCCCGAGGATGCCCCGGAGGGGCCCCCCCATCAGAGGCCGAGGCTGACGCCGATCGATGGGGCCCAGCCGCCTGAGTCCAACGTGGCCCGGGGCATGAGGAAGTTCGAGTCAGCTATCTCCCCGCTCCTAATCCCGCTTGGGCCCCGAGGCCCGATCGCAGTGGATCTGCGTGGGCGCGGGATCTCCGCGCCGCGAGCGCGCACTGCCTCGGCTGCGCCTCGTGGCCGAGAGCCCGACTCCGCTGGGCCCGGCTCCCGCGCTCGCAGCCGCTCGGGCGAGCGAGGCACTTGGGGGCGTCATTTCCACGGGAACTCTACGGCTTCCGACGCGGGGGCCTCGCGCGCGCCACGGAATTCAGTGCCGGGCTTCCGGGGCGTATGCGACGATGAAATGGGCCAGGCCCTCCTCGCCGAGCTTCGCGAGCGGGCGAGGTGGCTGGAGGCCGCTCTTCGTCGCAATTTGTTTTTTCTTTCAAATTCGAGGCCCCCGAGGACATGTCATTTCTGACCAGCGCCCCGCCCCGATCGAATGCCAGGGGTGCCGGGGCTCGCTGGGGCGACCTCTCTAGAGCGTCGGGCTTCCGAGTCGGCCGACCTCAAGGAATGGGGCGCCGCGGCGTCGCCCCGCGCTGCGCGCGCCCTGCCCCCCCCGGGAAGCTCGGGCGGTCGAGCGCAGATATCCGGGCAGCGCCCCGTCGCCCCGGGCGGCCAGGCGGCGGGCGCCAGTGGATGCGCGCGGGCGAGAGGCCGGCGCCGAAGCCCACGGTTCGCGCGCGGGCATCAGGACCCTGACGGAGAGAGATTTAGAATCTATGTTCCTACGCCGCATGCCGAGAGCGCCTTCGCGGCGCTCCAGATCGTTGCTTCGCCTCGCCGTGCCTTCGACAAGCGGGCGCCCGGGGCGCGGCCTGTCAGAGCGACGAGCAACGGCGCCCGAGCGGCGCGATCTATGTCGAGCCTTGTCAGGGCACCCCTGCGGATCCGACCGGCTGGTTGAGCTTGTCGCCCCCGTCTGTGGGTTGAACGGCGCCCCCCCTGTTGCGGCGCAGGACGCTCGCCGATCATCTGGCCCCCCGCGGCGTCGCGAAGTCCCTCTTGGAGGCTTGTGGTCGATGCGAGATGTTCAATTCCGTGGAAGGGCTGGTTCTGATCGGGGTAGGTGATCTCATCGTTGCCGGGCGCGGCGAGCCAATTCTCAAGTTTCGCGAGCGCCGGACCTCGAAGCTTCGCTGTGGAAAGTGGACTGAGACCGAGGCAGACTCTGGGGGCAGGCACTTTGGGCGACGCCCAGACAGGATCACAACATTTCAGGATTGAGACATCAGGGAACAGACGTCCTGCGCGCGCTTGGATAAGTCCCGCCGAGGGTGCCCGATAGGCCCCCCTTTCTCTATGAGAAGTGAGCTCGCGCAGGGCGGCGGTCACCCAAGTTCAAGGGGTCGCCAGAGAGCCCCGCCCCGACGTGGCGGGCGGTGCCTCACTTCTGGCTTCCGCGAGGCCCGCCTCCTCAGTCGCCGACGGACTGATTGTGATCAAGATATGTCGGTATCTAACGGCAACGGCGGCTCAGCGCATAACAATCTGGGGCCTGGATCCGCAGTCGATGTTTTTCTTGGCGGCGTCCGACGCCGGAGGTCCTGGGAGCGCCAGCAGACGCGGGGCCCGCAGGGCTTTCCATGCCCCCGCCGCCGACGCCAGAGACCGGCAACATGTCAGAGCGCGCGCGAGCTTGTCGTCGTGGAGGCCCCAACGTTTGAAGAGGGTCGTGGCTTCGAATTTCGCTGTCGAGACCTGCCCGTCAGCAGCGCGGTCGCGTCGCCGACGCTCAGTTGCTTCAAGTTTTGTGGGGGACTAGGTCCACAGAGACGCCCTTCGCCCCCATTGGCTCGGTGTCGCCTCGCCCTTCGCGGTGATAGCGTCCCCAGGGTGTGTTCTCGGAGAAGAGTCAGTGCCCTATCGATTGCGGGCGCCAAGAGCACTTCCGACACTTTGTCGCGCAACGCGGCGGGTTCGAGGGCGGATCGGCGGAATTCTTGAGCCGGCGGTGATAGGGTCTCTGGAATTGGTTCCACCGTCCGCTGGCTTCCTCGCGGTGGGATGCCAGCAGACCCTCTGGCCCGTGCTGACCCTGTGAAGGGGAACCTTGCGCTGCGCGATTTATTGCGTCGCGGGGCCCTTTGTCTCGTTGACGAAGGCGAGCGCGTCAATGAGCGCTCATTGAACGTTGCCCTGAAATTTTGTTTTCGAGGGGCCTCAGGCCGCGCTTTCCTGGAGGAGGCTGAGACGCGAGATGAGGGGTTTGATCGGGGTTCCCCCCCTTTGCTGACTAAGGGTGGAAGAGATACTAAAGGTGAAGAGGCGCGGGAGGGAGGGGGCGAAGGTTGAGGAGTCGCGCGAGGAGAGAGAGAGGAAGAGGAAACAGAGGAGGAGGAAGAGGAGGCGGAGGAGGAGAGCGCCCGCCACGGCCCGCCGCCGGCGCGGCCCGTCTACCCCATGCACCAGGCCAGGCGGCCCCAGGTGTTCGGGGCCCGGGAAAGGCCAAGCGCGCTAGAGTTTGGGTCGCTGTCCCCCGTCCCCTCCGAGGTCCCCCTCGTCGTGTCCTCTATCTTTCCCTCTCCCCGTGCTTAGCCTCTTTGGCTTGGGCGCGCGTCGTCTGCATGACAGCGTTGGCTCTCTCGACCTACATTCCGCTTCCCAAAAGAGCCCAATTCGCCGCCTCCCCCCCGGCCGGCTGAGACTGGGAAATTGCCCATGGCGTGCCCTCGGGAAAGGAGGCGCGGAAGGCGGAACAGCGGGGGATGCGGATCACGTATTACTATTTGTTCGTTTGGCTTGAAATTGTGTTGCCCAGTTGCACATAAAAAGGTTAGCTGGAACACCGAATACGGATGGACGAAGATATGGTACTTGCGTGCGTTGTTGAAGAGAAGCACTGGGAATGAGCATCGTCCCAGAATCAGTGAAGAGTTGGGTGGCCATGCCAGATTTTTTCGACATGGGGAGGCAATCGTCCAGCACGGAGTCCTACATGGCGGCGCCGACAATCATTGCAAACGCTTGCTTGACTTGATGTTTGATGATCGTTAGGTATGTTGCAGTTTGGTAGCAAATTCCACGCGCAGGACCGGGCGGCAGATCCCGCAATTGTGTGTGTGTGAGAGAGAGCTATCACAGGTGCAACATGTGCTACAGGGCTGGTCTTGCATTGGCATGCTTATGTATACATCGGAACCTGGAACATATACATTACCAGTGGCGGGCGGTTTTCAATCCCACAACTTTCTTGATGGTCGGGGACGACGTCGGGGTGGTGTGGTGCATAGGTTTCCCATTTCCCGGGGGGAAGCACCAAACCATGTGTACACCAGGATCCGTGTACACCAGGATCCGCGTTCCTGTGCGAATTTCAGCACAAGGTCGGAAGACACATCGGTGTATAGAGCTCGTTTCCTTATATACAATTGCCCAATTGATAAGCTCATCGTGTTGTCGAAATGGCGAATCGGCGCGTATTTGCCTCGTCAAGAAGAATCATCACTTCTTGCCGTCTCCCCGTGCGCAGGCCTTCGCCATCCCCAGCTCCCCTTCGTTTCCTTTTTTCTCCCTTGGTCGAGGGTTTTCGCTGCTCGGCTGGCTTCTCGGCTTCCTCCTCCCCCTTTTCTGCTGCTTGGTTTCCCGTCCGCCCTCGCCCGTTATTCGGGGTTGCGCCCCCCCCCCCGCGGAGAGATGAGAGCTTGGCTCGGGATGCAGGGAGGGGTTCGTTTTGCTGGTGTTCGGTTGCGGGGGCCCGTTCGCCGGCCCTTGGCTTACGGCCAGCGGTGCCACGCGTCTTGCCTTTGCGGCGGAAGCGGGACATCCCCCGGAACCGGGCTTTCGTTCGCCTGTGGACGGCAAGCGAGGCGCCCCAGGCAGGCCAGGGCAACGAGCTGCGTGGACGTGCGTCCATATGTTCGCATAGGCAATTGGTGCGATCCTAAGCCCCATCGCGCCGTGCCGCTCGGACTCGCCTCCGACGCGCTCAACCTGAACCTCCTCCATCGCCCCCTTCCTCGCCCCCGTCCTTTCTCCAGTCCTTCCTCCATCGCCTCCCCCTCTTTCTTCCACTCGGCGGCGAGCGAGGGTGGACGTGAGAAGGAGACGGCCTTTTCAGAAGGCGGCGGGACTTTTCAGAAACCCTGGTGCCTCCTGTGTCTTCGGGGAATGTTCAGGGAACTTTTCATAAGGTCGGGGGACTACCGAGCCTCCCGAGCTCGCCGCCGATCCGTCGCCTCCCTCCTCGCCCCCCCAGCCGCCCAAGAAAAAACAGCCAGACTCCTGCAGGCGCCCGTGGGCCTCGGCCGCCCCGACGGCGACGGCACCTTCGCCGGGGCGCGGCGCCCCGCGACCAGCGCCGCCCCAGCGGGGGCGGCGCCTCCGGCGCCCGCGCCGCCAGCGCCTGCACAGGCGGGTTCCGCGTGCCTCGGCAGCAGCGTTCGGATCGGCTACACTCAGGATCGACATTTCGCCGGAGTGACCTTACAGGTGCGGGCCCAATGGGGTACCCTAGTCGGCGAGATTCGCCGAACGCGGCGCGACAGCAGCCTCTTGTGCGCTTGTGCTTGGTTCCCCCGCGGCCTTAAAATGCCGCGCGCCCAAGGTCAGGGCCACTTTGGCGTGTAGCCGATAGGGGCATCACTAGCCTGAAATAATCACGAGGGCAGGTTAGTTGTTATTTTCTGCCTACGGGGGGCCCCAGCTAGGCCTCGGGACTGTCGAAAACGATCCAGGATGAGAAACCGCTTCCTTGGAAGGGGTCCAGGCTCCTGGGGGTCACGTCGCGCAAAAATCCCGACGTCGGGTGTCAGGGTTAGGGGTACCACTAGCGTGAAGGGTGCTAGTGGGGTCAAATGCAACGTTCGGGGCAACGCGGGGAACGACCAAGCGCGCTCGTCCACCTCGGCGTTATAAGCAACGATGTGGGCAACGTTGGGGGCAACGTTTCGAGGTCCATGGCCGTTTTTCAAACGCTTTCGTTTGTTCTCGGCTGCTTTCCAGCTTCGGGATGCCCCCCTAGCAGCTGCGCCTCGCCGAGAGCTTTCTGGGGGTGTCTGGATCGCCCCCGAATGGCCGACGGAGGCCCCAGCTATGACCCGGAAGCCACCAGGGGGATAGGCACAGAGGGGGGAAGGCATCGACCCCGAGTCGTCCACTGGTCGCCGATAGGGGTCCGATAGCCCACGCCTCCCAGGAATGTGCGGAATCACCATCGGGGGCCTATCGTCGATATATCGGCGGTGTATCGCCCATTCCAAGTCGATGTTGCCCCCCCTATGCCCGGCCCCCCCTTCCGTTGCCCCTCGGTACACAGATCTCCGACGTCGATTGGTTCAACCCCAGCGTTTTTCCTCGACCTCGGTCCTGGCGCTTGCTTTCGGGCCCAGGGGTCATCAAAACTGGAAACGGGATGGGAAACTACCCCCTCAGGTCGGGCGTGCTCTCCTACAGGCGGCCTTGGGAGGAAAAACGACACATACGCAGAACACGCCCAACAATACAGTGAGCGGCTTGAATAAGGAACATTTGCTTTTCAAAAGGGGCTCGGTTGTTCCTTAGATTTTAGATGCGTAATTTTCAGTTCCTTATGCGTTATTGTTATTATTCGTTCCTTATGCGTTATTCCTTGGGATAAAAGAGGGGCTTCGTTCCTTATTTATCGTTCCTCAGGTCAGGCCGATGACTGTAGTAGAACAGTCGTCTCCAGACTTTCAAAAAATACGGCTTTTGAGTGTTCCTCCTGTAGAGGGGCATGCCCGATCGAAGACTGCCCCTCGGGGGCGGGGTCGGGACCACCCAGGGCCGCGCACGGGAGACCGCACATCGTCGGAGGTCGGCTTCGCGTAAGACCCCCACTTCCTCCTCCTTCTCATCCTCCTCCTTTTCCTCCTCCTCCTCCTCCACCTCCTCCTCCTTATCATCCTCCTCCTCCTCCTCCTCCTCCTCCTCCACCCTCTCCTCTTCCTCCACCTCCTCCCCCGCCTCCTCCTCCTCCTTCTCCTCCTCCTCCTCCATTCCCTCTCCGTGTACAGCATGTTCTCCCTGCCGCACCCCGAGGCCAGTTTTCAGGGCGGGCTGGGCGTTTCGCGTGAGACTCCCTCACCATTTATGACTTAGACGCTTACAAAGTCGCAACAGCCTCGCAGATGGAGGGCGGGTGGTTTTCAAAATGTGGCTCTCGCCTTAGCGCCGCGCACATTCGTTTTAAACATTTGCAAGGGTTTCACGGATTGAGGGTGAGTCGTTTTCAAAATGTGGTTCTCGCCTCGGCGCCGCGCACATTTGTTTAAACATTTGCAAGGGTTTCGCTGATTGAAGGCGGTTCCTTTTCTTCAAAATGTGGCTCTCGCCTCATCGCCGCGCACATTCGTTTCAAGCATTTGTAAGAGCTTCACGGATTGAGGGTGGTTCTTTTTCAAAATGTGGCTTTCGCTTCGGAGTTTCACTGTTTCCCATCAACAACGTAGCAGAACTCGTGTTTTGGAAGGATTCAGGCCTGTAAGGGTGCACGAGTTATGTTGATTCGCGGTGTTCAAGTTCCAGGGATGGCTTTCTGGCACGATTCAGGATCGTCAAGACGCAACAGTCAGGTTGATTCGTAGCGTTCGAATCCCGAGAATGTCTTGGCAGTTGTCTTCCAACAGTTGTCTTCCAGCGAGTGGAAAAAACAACAGTTGTCTTCCAGCGAGGCAGCCCCCTCAGTAAAAGTGAACCGTTGTAGGGGCCTGTGAAGAGGGAGCTTGAAGGGAGGGAGGGTGTATTCCAACATCATTGATGCCTCTTGGGTTTGCACTGGTACTCCTCCCCCCCACCCTTCTCCTCCTCCCTCCCCCCGTCCTCCTCCTCCTCCTCCTCCTCCTCCTCCTCCTCCTTCTCATCCTCCTCGTCGCGTTGTGGATCCGCGGCGCGCCGAGGGGGGGAGGTTGGAGTTCCGGGTTGGACGTTCAAGGCTTTCGGTCGTCTTCGTCGGGTCCCGAGGGCTTTCCAGCTTCGGGATGTTTTCGGGCGGCCGCGCTTCGCTGAGGGCCTTCCGGGGATGCCCGGGTCGTCCGAGAGGAGTGAACGGGCGGCGCGCCGAGGGGGCAAGCGAGAGTCTGATTGCCAACCACTTCACAGACGTGTTGGCCAGCAGGGGCCCCGAAGAGTGAGTTGTTTTTGCTGGAGGTGGCCGTAATGCGGTGTGAGCCGTGTCGCGAGCTGCAGGGGTGTGAGCTGTGCGCTGCAGTACCTGTGGTGTGAGGGGTGTGAGCTATGCAGTGAAGCTTGGTGTGCGTGTGGTGTGATCTGGAGGTGGGAGCTGTGCGGTGCAAGCTCTGTGGTGTCCGCTGTGTCCTGCAAGCGATGCGGCGTCTGCTATGCAGTGTCGGCTATGTCGTGCGAACTAGGCGGTGGGAGGTGGAGGTAAAAGCGATGGACTCAGCGCACGGGGCGCCTGCGAGCGGGCGGCAACGTGGCGCAACCTTGGCGGGCCCACCCAGCGCACGAGCGTGGCGCAACCTCGGTGGACACCCAGCGCACGGGGCGCCTGCGAACGCCCACGAGGCGGCACGGTCGGCAACGTGGCGCAGAGTCGGCGGACCCACCCAGCGCACGGGGCGCTAACGAGCGCCCACGAGGCGGTGACTGCGGGGCGACAACGTGGAACGTGGAACAGTCCGGCGAGCCTGTCCAATTATCTCAGGAGGCTAAGTGAGCGACGCAATAAGTAGCACTTTAGTGCTGAAGTGCTAGTACTGAAGTGGTACTCTAGTACTCCTAAGGAGGCTAAGTCATACTCTAGTGCTGAAGTAGTAGTCACATTCCGAGTGCTGGATGTAGTAATAACTCAAACATGCTATAGTTCTGTAGCGCTGCAGTAGGACCCAGGTTCTGTAGCACTGTAGTAGTATAGCAGTAGTGCTGTAGTGGTAGCTCCCTGGCGATGTAGTAGTTAGCATCGTGTAATCGTATTCTGGTAGTGGCGCTATTCTCTTGCATTAACACCAATATCCTAGTAATGGCTGTAGTAGCCGGACGGTAATACCGTAGTGCTAGTGTTGTGTAACTGTAGAACCCTGGTGCTGTAGAAATACTCTAGTAAGGATGCTTGGGGCCTTTTGGGCATCCTAACTACCATCTGGCTGTGCGCTCGGCTTCCCAGTCGCCGTAGTCCTGGTCGTCGTCGTCGTCCTCCTCCTCTTCCTTCTCCTCCTCCTCCTCCTCCTCCTCCTCCTCCTCCTCCTCCTCCTCCCTCTTCATCCTCCTCCTCCACCTCCTCCTCCTCCTCCTCCTCCTCCTCCTGCTCCTCCTCCTCCTCCTGGGGGGGAGCACATCGGATTAGTTTATTTTTCTCCCCCCCCATCCCTCCCCGCCGAGAACCACCACCATCAGTCAGGTCTGGTCTCGGAAGGGCTCACACTGAAGGGAAGACAACCGCCGTGCGACGAGAATGAAGGGGATAAAGAGAGAGAGAGAGAAAGACAGACGGAGAGAGGGAGCGAGGGAGAGTTGGAGGCGGGAGGGGAACACAAAAAGACATAGGGCGAAGGATGATATGGTGAGTTTTGCAGGGGGGCGAATTGATTTCTGAAATGTTTGACCCTCCTAACTTCGGGCTTTTGTTGCTTAGCATATCTCGAGCCGCGCCGATCTGCGAGGTCCCCAGGGCCGAAACGGTGTGAGTACGACCGGCGCGAACGCATTGCAGCGCCGAGATCTCGGGGGCCGAAGCCGTCACGACACGAAACTGCCGCACGGTGGCGGCGCTCGTGTGGGAATGTGCCTGGGAGGCTCCAGACCCTGGAGGGTTACTTATCTGACGAGGGTGGTCCTCCTCCTCCTCCTCCTCCTCCTCCTCCTCGTCGTCGTCTTCGCCCTCGCCCTCCTCCTCCTCCTCCTCCTCCTCCTACTCCTCCTCCTCCCCGCCCTCCCCCTCCTCCTCCTCCTCCTCCTCCTTCTCCTCCGCCTCCTTCGCCTCCTCCGCTTCCTCCTCCTGTGATCTCCATGACCAAGCCTCCATTGGTGCTGCGCCGGCAGCCAGACTCTGGATTCGTTATCCAGGGGTTCCTTATCCAATGCCCTCACCGCGCAGGTCCCTCCTGGGTGACTTCTGTGCGCCCACCTGGATGCAATTGTGAGAAAGCCGCCTGGGCCTGCGGAGTACAAATGCCCCCACCGAAGCCGCACAGGCGGCGGCGACGGACGCGCCGGCCGCACAGCCGGCGGCTGCCGGCGAGGCCAGGCCCGCGGCGGCGGAGGCAGCCGGACCAGCCCGCCGGGAGCGCAGCCGCAGCCGCGACGACGACCGTGCTCCGGCAGCGAAGGCCGAGCTCAAGGTCGTTTTGGGGGGCGGGGGCTTCTCATCGAAGCGAGG